TTAATTTTTTTGTAGAGAGAGGGAAAAAACGAGCCACGCAGGAAGATAATTGATGCTGAGTGAAAGAAAAGTGCTGTGCTCGGCACACCACGATACCGGGTCATGTTATTTCGTGGGACGGTCTGGAGCGCGGCACGCACGGGGGGGGACGGAGAAAGGGAGGGGGAATGCGCCATATGTGTGGAGGGACCCGCGGACACTCAGGGAGGCCATCAACCGCACTCGTACTCGGACATACAAAACGTGCAACGATGCAACGTGTTGCGTATTTTATGAGGATTCATAGACATTTTATATGAGAATTTTGCCTCTCGCGGTCGTTATCACGATACGATCCGGTCGCTCGGTGCGAGCACGTGTTTGCAAATGATCTTCGATATGCGCGATCATAACTGTACAGCTGAAGAACTACTGCGTAGCTTTAGGAGACTAGCACCACCTCGGCACCTCGGCACGGTATAGGGTGATGGTCCGTTGAACCTATGCGGCGATTCAAATAGGTCAAGGTCAACCGTTTGGAATGCACTAATCTTTATTTCGCTTTTGGTGTGTACGAGATAGTGTTGTGTATGGTGGCAGGAAGGGGGGGGGGGGAGGATTCTAAGTCTTTGCTGGTCGTTGACTTGCCGGAGCCCCCCTGCCGCGGTGATGGGCTCCTGCGGGCTCCTGCCCCGGACAACGTGTTCACCTGTGCAACAATTAGGAGGCGCCTGTGTGTAGGGCCGACCGCCGCCTCGCCTGGCCACATGCGCGTGACTGTGCGTGCGTGTGCGTGTGCGCGCGCGCGCGCGTGTGTGTGTGTGTGTGTGTGTGTGTGAGAGCGTATGTGTGCGCGCTTTTACGCGCGCGTGGTGTGCCAAGTCAAATAAGCTGGAGATGGACTGAGCTCCTTCTTTTTCTCATTCCCATTGCCGAGGCATTAACTTTGCACACTTCCCCCGCCCTCCCCTGCTCCGCCCCTTCCACCCCCACACGTTATGTGTTTGAGTGTGTCGGTGTAACAAGACTAACCAACTCCAGCCCGCTTCCATCATCAGAAAAGCTTTTCAATTTTTTTTCCCCCTCGACAAAACGCAATGTTCAGACATGTGTTCCGTACGAAGCAATAATGGCGGAAACGGCTACAGTTTTTTCCCCCTTTCTACGCGGTGCGAGGAAATGGGCGCGGACGTTCTTCTTACCTTCATCATGGCGTACTTCTTGACGAATCTGTCGTCGCTGCCGGTGTAGCCCTTGGTCACAGCGGTGCACCACAGCGCCCAGCAGCACAGCGCCAGCAGTCGGGACATCCTGGAACACGATTGAGTGTCATTGTAGTCGCAGCTGATCCGACCACCATAACTGTCAAAACAACTACAATGTCCAGCAGATTAAAGCTGCATGCAAGTCATGCACGACCCCCTACCCCTTCCCTACAACCCGTTAGACTTGTCGTATGTAGAGGGAAGACCCATACTCTAGTATACAGAGGACACTGGTGTCCACCAAACAGGACACGAACCTTGATAGGGTATGGTGCACTGTCCTGTGCACAGCAACCTGCATAGAACAAGGGGATCACCACTAGGTGTCCAGCCGCTGTTCACCAGCAGCGCTCAGGTTCTCGGGTCGTGCAACTAAAGTCGTACAGTTGCTGCTCATCCCTGACGCTGACGCACATCTCAATCATCATCCTTGTCCATGTATGAGATTGTCAATTTTTTTTTCTGACCGTTATCGCCCCAAAACTTGCTGATTTCAGGTCTCGCAGTGAGGTGATGAGACTGGTGCGCCGGCGCCCGCGGCGTCGACGTCATGGCCAGCTGGGCGAGAAGAAGGTCTAGGAGTCCCCCGTCCACCTCATCCACGGCGGGATCCTTTATCCCTGCTCCCCTCATCCGTTTCTAATCCCTCTCGTCATCGCTGGTCCTTTCTTATCCCCTCCCCGCCTTCCCAATCACAGAGCGCGGGGGACTTGTCGTGTGGAATCGTAAGTCATCCTCGTATACTCTTTTTCCCTCACGTCATCCCGAAAGGTGAGTGAGCAGTGAGTGAATGAGTGATGAAAGGTGTTCGCCAGTGAAATTGCGCGCGCACGACGATTTATAATTTTGATGAGAGGGGAGAAGAGTTCTATTGAATAGCTACATGACGTTGATTACAATAATTGAAATGCGCACGAAATTCTAAGAAAAATTCGTGCGCGCGGATACTCATTTTGCTCCACGCGCGATCTCCTCAGCTCGCCGCGGGAGGTGTCGGCCGCAAAAAGGTGCGAAAAGCAAACTCTGCGCGTGGGGCAGGGCGGGGCCGGGACGGCCAGGTGGCGGCGCCGGCGCCCCGCCCTCCTCTCGTAATTGAAAAATGAGAATAACTAGCCATTTAACCGACAGCGCGCCGACCAACCGACCATCACTTTATTACCACTCCACGGGTCGCTAAAGCAAAGCCCTCCCCGCGGGAGAGAGGGAGAGAGAGAGCAGGAGAGATCGAGAGCAGGTAAGGAGTGTGCTCTTCCACGGAAGGTGAAACCATAGACCTGGTGTGCTAAATGGAATTGAAGATGATGATACGTTTTACTCGGTACACCGTTTTGCAGTTTAACACTTTCCGTGCGACGGGTCCACACCCGTGGACCCGCAAAAATAGTCCCTTCCGTGCGGCGGGTCCACATTGTGGACCCGGGTCCACACGGGTGGACCCGTCGCAAAT